ATTTCTTATATATGTACAATAATGTCCTCTAAACAGATTTTAAATAAAGTTATCCATTTACTCACAAAAAAATCCCAAACTTTAGGTATCGTTCTAAAACTTCAAAGGTGATGTAACCCCTTAAATTAAATCAAATGGACTGTTAAATGAAATCAAATGAAGCGCGAATGTCTCGCGTATTACAGTTAATAGGCCCAGGTGCACGCAGCGAGGTAAAAAAAACTTAACATTAATCAGGTGATGTAACGGTACTTGACTTTTATCGAGAGACGCAACTCGCATAAATATCTAATAAACGCCTCAAGGATATCTCGAACATTTTTATTATTTGGCTTATGAAGAGGAGAAGTTATTAATCATTTTAATTATCGATTGAGAAGCGAATAAAAGAATAAATATTCGTCACTTCTAAAAAAAGACGGCGGCTTCAGGCCGTTTCTTAAGTTGATATATAGAGTGACAACAGGGAAGCTGCTGAAATCAAATAGTTTATTTTGTAACAAGTGGACAGATCAAATCAATTAAACATTACATTATAGAAGAAATCCATCATTTTTATTAGCACGCATTTCGAGATAGAATATGTGTGAAAATAAATATAAAATAAAAAAAGATAGACAGTTGAGCTGATTACACGATTAATGATATATGTTTTGTCATGTGAATAATGGCCGTCTAAATTTACATTGCGCTTTTGAAAACTATTGAATATATTGTTGAATATTAATAACTGCAGCTGTGTCTTTCAAGAACTCCAGATATATTTCTTTTTTTGAAAATGATCAGTGTCGTAATCCGTTGAGCATACATTATTGAGCAGTCAGTTAAATTTTTTTTGCGTTTTCGAAATATTTCTATTTTTACAAACTCATAAATTTACATTCTTTTTTGCAGCAATTTATGCGCCAAGCAAAAATAATAAGTTTCTTCCGCGGAGCAGCGTATAATTCATTTTGCTCTGTCCACTCATTAGAAAATAACAGCCATTTAGTTTCAACAACTTCCCGATTGTCATCCTGCGCATCACCGTGCACAGTCCATTTTCGCAACGTTTGTCACTTTGCGCCTCTTCCTCGCCGTCTTCCTCTAAACGCCGCGCCTTGCTTGCGCCGTACTTCGCACCTCTTTACGTCACAGTTATGCCTCGATAATAACAGCAGCCGCCGCGCCGTGGAAGTCGTTAGACCGTTGCGCTTATTATCTGTCGCAATATGGCTTACTTGGACGCGCAGCGACCGCATCCGCGACGTCTTACGTCGCGTCTCGGTGCATTAAACCGATTATGTGGGTCAGGGTCGACGTCTGCTCATATCCCGCTCGCGCATTCTGGCCAATTCCGAGGTATCGATATACCCAGTGTCGATACCGCGCGACGATACCGTACGCCACTCCACCTGATTAACAAAATCGCAATCGGATCTTCCGAACATTCCGTCCCCTCGCAGACATTTAATACTGGAAGCTGGTGATTAATTACCAGAGTTGGGTAGTAACTAGTTAAAAGAAGTTAAAAGTTGAATAATAAAGTTAAATAGTTAATATAACTTTTTACTTAACTTAATTAATTTTAAACGAGTTACTATTAACTTTAACTAGTTATTTTTAAATATATGTATATAAACTTTAACTTATATATAAACATTAACTTTTTTCTAAATTAAAAATTTATCTATTTAAAAAAAAAACATTTTCATAAAAAGAAAATTTCGTTATTTCATAAAATTTACAAATAAAATATTAAATTGATTTTATTTATATTCTAATTTTTTTATTTAGAGTAATTTTATTTTTAAAAATAACGATATTTTAAATTAATATAAATGATGTTTTTTTTAAATTAACTTTTAAATTAACTTTAGTTAATTAAATCTTAACGCAAGTTTTAACTGAGTTTTTTGCAACTTTTAACTTAACTAAATTAATTTTATAAGTCATTAACTTTAACTTAATTTATTTTTTTTTAAATACTAACTTAATTACAATAATTATTATACTTAAGTACTTTTGACTGCTGTTCACAGTACTTTTAATACTCAAAATAAGTATTAATTTTCAGTATTAGATTGGCCGGTACTGAATTTTTCTAAAGGTTGATGACGGATTCTTTCAACACTTCGTTTTTGTGTTTAGAGAAAAAACAAAATAAAATTGATTGTTGAATTGATTGCCCGCCGCTTACTCGTCACGTTCGAAATCGGGATCGTCTTAAAGACGCCATCAAAACGGTTTTTTTAGACGTCATGTCTTTAAAGACATCTTTAAGACGTTCTTTAAAATGTTTTTATACGTCCCGGTTTTGAACACGCGTGCCGTCCGGGTATTTTCACACGCAACCATTACGATGTACGATCATAAAGAATTTGCACATTTCAAGTCTTACGAGCTCTTATCAAGTTATTGACTCTGTCCGCTTTTATCCTCCGGTCCCACTGGTTTTCCGTCGCAAGAGCCCGTCTAATGTTGATTTTTCTCCATTTTCTTCCATACGTACAAATTGATATGAGTTGCTCTACCTGTTAGCTCTATCACGTCGGCAGACCATTTCCATTTGATATCCGTCAGCGAGCATGATCGATCTTCTCTACTTGCAAGAAAGAGAGAAAAGGCAGGGGAGGGGGAGGGAGAAACCTCGTGTAACACGCGAGGTGTCGGGTTTCTACCAGATATCGAAGAAGCCCCCTCCCCCTCCTCCCCTACCCGTCATCAACTCATGCACGTGAGGATATTAAGAAATGCAGGATGCAATCACCTACTTTCCGGTCGCATATCTTCGTAATCAATGAAAGCCGAGAAGAGCTAAAAAGAATGACCCGGGTGTCTCTTTCGCCAAAGCACGTCGGACCGTCGAGAGGTGTGCGAATAGTTCGAATTCGAATCGAATCGAATCGAATCACAGTGGATTCGATTTGAATTCATTTTCGAATCTGTCAGATTCGAAATTGAATAATTCGAGAATTTCGAATCAACAATGTTTCGATTTTGAATCAATCGCCTATTTTATTTGCTTCATTTATATGAAGCGATCCGCGCGATCAATTATTCTTATTTAATAAATAAGTGTATTTTTGATGTATGTAATGTATCCATGTAGATTAATATAGAAAATATTCGAAAGCATTCGAACTATTCGTTTATACGCATATTATTAATTACGTATTTTCTAGTTCAAAATGTTCAATGATCATAAAATCATGATCCTTTGTAATGAAATGTAAATCGAAAACAAGTCTTCAGTTTGTTTAAATTATTGCCTAAAATAATGTAATTCATCAATTTGGATATTTATTACGTTTAAATTAACATGTAATGTAAATCTGGGAAAATTTGATTCAGATTTGATTCGTATTCGAATTAAAGAGATTCGATTCGAAATGAAAATTTCAGATTTGATTCGATTCAATTTCGAACATATTATCAAAAATTCGATTCGATTCGCTTCGACCATGCAAATGCTTGATTCGCACACCTCTACCGTCGAGCTGCGGGAAGGCCCGAGAAATTCACGCACGCGTGGCACGGAAGCCGGCGTTAATTTACGGCGTCGCGCACCTCTCTCTCTCTCTCTCTCTGTCTCTTGCCTTCCTTTTCCCTTCTCTTTACGCGGGACGGGGACCGAAAAGAAAGAAACGCCTACACGCACACACACACACACATACCCGATGATCGTGTCACCCCGCTGCATTCCTGCACCAGGTTGCGGTACGTGACCGGCACGGCGCGGCGGGGAGAAAAACTCGTTTATAGGTATCTTGCGTGCTGAGATCGATCGCGTTTCGTATATATCGCGCGATGGCATCGGGGGAAAAGGAGGAAACGCGAGCGGCGCGGAAACAGAGAAATAGAGAAGCGCGAAGAATGAATTCGCTATGCCAGCTCGTAAATGAGATCGCTCCTCGCGATTACCCGCAATGCGCCTCGAGCGAGATGCAAAGGGATGCCCGAGTCGCATCCCTGCAGTAGACGCTTAGAAAACGATCTGTTGCTAACGTCGGATATTTATAAAAGAAATTACAAGCGATAGATACATAGAGAAGTAAACGCGAGCAATATACATATGCATGTATATGCATATCCGCAAAAATCTCCGGGCAAAAGATACGAGAAAGGAGATAAAACAACCATTTTTATTTTTTTATAATCACTCTTTATTTCAATACACTTTTTAGAATGTTTAATTTTTCTATACCAATAAAAATATTCTTAATTTTTGTCCTTAAAATGATAACTCATAACTGTGGAGGTCACTTCTTCAGCATTCATAAATTTTTTCTACAGATTAAACTTTAATTTTGAAAATAAAAAAATTACTATAGATATATGCTAAGTCGGGACTATAAAGCGGGTGATAAAGAAATAATTTTCGTGGTGTTAAATCATTTTAAGGACAGAAAATTCAGAATATTTTTTCAGTAATATAAAAAAATTAATTTACTGTTTTAAAAAATGTATGTTGAAATATAGAGTGAATACATTGAGAAATAAAAATGCTAGTTTTATTTTATCATCTTTTTGCATTCTTTTGAAAATTTTTGGATTTTATCACATAATACAGGGCAATAATATTAGATTTGATTACATAATACAGGACAATAATAAGAAGATGTCTTTATGAATCAGACGACATTTTTCAATAGTTAATGTTCAATTTGTCAATGATTAATGTGTGAATTGTTTGTTTGACCTGCAGATCGATCAGAAACCGCACCAGAGGGTCAATCATCACGAGAATCACGTGTCCCAAATCACGAAGACGATTCAGTCGCAGGCGAATCACGCGAATCACATTCAGTCCCACAACCATTCCAATCACGTAATCTCCGAACACGAGAATCACGTACCGATCAGTCGCGTGCCCAACCACGTGTCGGCCGTCAACCAGGCGAACCATCAGAAAAACCTGCAGAACCAACGGCTTAGCCCGAGCCAGGAATGGCGGCAGCCGGACGACAACGTCCGACTCCAAGAAGACGGCATCTACGAGATCGGACCGGTGGTCAACGACGGCAAACATTCCCTCTTGCAGTACGCCATGCTGAACTTCCGTCAAAGCACAGAAAAGTGAGTCAATATTTCCGACGTAATTTATACGCAACACATTTGCCAGAATGATGCCTGATCGAGAGAATGTGCGGATATCTTGAAGGAATTTAGAAAATCCCTTTTTTATTTAGGCCTTCTCTTTACTCATTACTATTGTCTTAAAGTGTGACGTCAAAAGCGATAAAATTATCCAATAGAAATTTTTGCAAAATATGTTAAAATGGAAATATTTCCAATAAAACAAAATTTGCAGTCGATAAAGAGAATATTACACTCATAAAATATACCGAAAATTATCTTTTTGTTCGGGAGGATTTAAATTATATTTATTTTTATATGTTATTAATTTGAGACAGTTGACACAGCTGTGAACGTAGCTTATTTCGTATATTTTGCAAGAATTTCTATGTAATAGAAATTTTCTCGCTTCTGAAGGTATATTAGCGAGTGAACAGCAGGAGTTTTAAGGACTGCAAATATATCGTAATTCTAACTGCTGAATAATTCTGAAATCACATTTATTACACATAATTGTTAATTAAAAGAAAAATGATAAAAATCTGTCTAACATCGAGAAATCGAGACGAGCCATCCAATTTAAAATGTGTGTTTCTCTCCTTTCTAAATTGCGGCCGGTAGCAAGTGCATGCGCAAACTCGTCGATCGTATGGAAATTAATGCGAAACAACTATTAACAATGTTACGCAAGCGAGTCGTGTTGAGAAAGCATAACGCGGTCCGCCGCGCGGATATCATTTCGACCGTGCGCCGGCGGTGTCTCCTTTTTCCGTATCGTTCTTCGAGTTCCGTATTTCGCGCCGAGGAACCCAGGCAGTCGACCCAGGCAGGCGCGACGCGACGCGACGCGAAGCGAGCGAGCAAATTGACAATAAGTGCGTCCGTCCGGCAGATTCGAGATGTTGAAGACCGCGGATGGATCGATCAGCGGGTCCCTCAAGGTGATTGAGTCGTTGAAGAGCAAGAAGAAGAACAAGAAGGGCAAGGGCCAGCAGGACGGCACCGAGTGGACCTGGAAGGAACAGGTGGACCTCGTCAAGTACTCCACCGTCCCCATCGAGCAAAGCCTGCTCAGGCTCGATGCCGATCTGAGCGTCTTAGCGGTGGAGTGCTTCCTGTGCCTGATGAGGTACATGGGGGACCAACCGCTGCCGCCTGAGACCAGCGAGGTCAAGTGCGTCTACACCATTCTCATGGTAAGAATTAAAAATATATTATAAATTGGGAACATCGAACTAAATCGATGTTCCCAATTTATTTCTGGACGTTGAGTGAAGTTTCAACTGAGGATGATCTAAGCGAAGGTCGAAGCTTGATTTTAGAGAAATATTTAGAAATACTTAAGGAATTCATTTGGAAAATAATATTACAGACACGTAAAGAATTGGCGTTATCGCGCACGAAGCATCTGTGCAGCTTCTTATTGACCTAGATTTGTGTGATTGGAATAAATTTCGATTTTAATCGTCTCCCATAGAGACGTGAATACGCAACAAAAGATATTCCGTATTTGTCTGAGCAATGAGTCACTTTTCGCATAGATACTGGTCGTTTCTTCGCGGATTTACCTTTGAAGTCCCTGGTAAGAAACGGAACTTGTCGATTAACCATTATTATCTCCGTCATTATATCCTTGTCTCTTCTCGTGCCAATTTTAACGATCATTACGTCCTCTATTCTTTCCCTTCGCGCCGAAGGACGCGGTATTTTCTAACGAGACCGTATCTCCGCGCGTGTGTCCGCAGCACTGTCACAAATACGAGCAACTGCGCGACGAGGTCTACTGCCAGCTGATGAAGCAGACCACCAACAACAAGAGCCCGAATCCGGAGAGCTGCCAGCGCGGCTGGCGGATCTTCAGCATCATCGCCGCGTACTTCACGTGCAGCGAGGGCCTCAGGCCCTACCTGACCAAGTACCTCGAGACGGCGGCGTACGACAAGCGGCGCGCTTACCACGGCACCGCGATGGTCTGCCTGCAAAACCTGCGGAAGACCGTGAAGTACGGCGGGCGCAAGAACGTGCCCAGCGTGGAGGAGATCATGGCGATCAGCGCGGGCAGGAACGCCAAGAGGCAGATCTACCGGCTGCCCGGCGGCACCGAGCGGGTCATTAACACGAAATGCACGACCGTCGTGCAGGACGTTATTGAGGAGATGTGCAGCGTCATCTCCGTGAGAAACCCGCACGAGATGGACGAGTTCTCGCTGTACTGCATCGTCGACGGCGACGCGTTCACCATGCCGTTGGCCAGGGACGAGTACGTCCTGGATGTAACCACGGAGCTTCAAAAAAACCACCAAGTGTTCTACTTAATATTTTGCAGGTACAGTGAATTTTATATATAGCGTATTCCGCTGCTATTCCGAACTGCAGACCACTTCCTGCGCGCAGTAAATTTTACATTGAAATAATTTAGAATTTCTTGCACTTTCTAATGTATTCGAGGACGTATCTAAATGATTTGTCTAAAGTATAAAATTGTAGAGAATAATTAGACTATTTTCTGCACTTTCCTGGTGAAAATTTTTCTTATATAGAATGCTTCGTATAATCCTTCATCATTTTTATATAAATTTCAAAATTTTGCAAAATTTCTGTATAATTTTATAATTTTTAAAAAATTTCTCAGATTTTTTTTATACAAATTGAAACATTTTTCAGAAACATTGACAAAGTCAACATCTTTTCTGGAATTCTTCACATATATAAATTCTGGAATATTCTAAGATTTCTTATTCTATAATTTCTGAAGAAAACTTTATAAAATCTGAAAAAATTTTAAGGTATTTATAAATTTAAATATGACAAATTCTTAAAAATGTTATGAGATATGAGAATTTTTTCACGAGTTTATGGTGACAAAGTATTCTATTTCATCATATGTGGTATCAAAATAAATAAAAATAATCCGCGAAGATACGAGAAAATTCATAAGAAAATGAATATATTTTGACATAAATGCGGTAAAATTGAATTTTTATTATCGTTTTCAAAAAAATGCACAAATTATTAACAATGTCTTTTATATGACTATTAAAAATATCGTTTTCTTAAAAAATCCTTTTAGATCTGTTTGGTACTATCCTCTGCGGCTGGACGCGGCATTGTATATAGAAGTCGTATTTAACCAAATCGCTCCCGATTACCTGGAGGGACTCCTGCTAGTCCTACCTGGAGAACATTTACCTCAGGAAATAATTGTGAGTAACATTTGCCTGGGGGAGGGAGAGCTCGAGACTCCGACCGGATGAGATGAACGCGATCAATTAACGACACGCGTGTTTCTCGTAGTATGACATGGCGCAAATAGCGGCGCTACTGCACAGAGCGGCCGACATGGCGCACGAGCCCGCGACGAAGGAGATCAAGTATCTGTTGCCAAAACCAGCGCTCAGCTTGAGGGAACCCAGGCCGCAGCAATGGTCGAACATGGTTCAGCAAGCCTGGAACAACGTTCAGCATTCCTCGGCGGCCGTCTGTAAGGCGCAAGTACTCGGTAAGTCGAGTCGCGACTCCCAAATCGAGACCACATCTCTCGACTGGGAAACCGTTTACTCCTTTAACTCACTTTACTGTTTCAAATATTATGACATACGTAACATTCGATATTTTTAATGAAATTTAACACTGGAGGTTCTAAATAATTAGCTATTTTGGCCTCATAAAATAATTTAATTATTTAGAGCAATCAGTTATAAATTCTTTCTTAGTGTTTTCGTCTGCCAGGATTATCGATTCGGCTCCTTATTATATTGAGGCCTCGTCAATTCTTGTTTACGCGAAAGTTCTCGCGTGTCAGCCGCCTAGTGACAGCACGGCCCAATTAGCCGTGCTCGCGGGAAATGCGGGAATGCCGGCTCCCGCGCGTACTAGCACTATTTTACGATTTAAAAATTGTTTTTCATACACACCGCATATAAAAATGATAAAAGGCGTTTCCACCTCCCAAACATTTGCTTTAATATCTCTAATATACAAGCGAGAACTCAAACAATAACAGTTTACACAAATTGTTGCTTGGCAAAATGACAAAAATTAATTGTCTTCGGACGGAATGGATTAAATGCAGTACACGCATGCGTTTTCTCTCTTTCTTCAGAAATATTGTCCAAGTGGCCGCTTTTCGGCTCGAGTTTCTTCGCGGTGAAGAGGGTGCCCGAGGGCAAGGAAAAGGGCGCCGACCACATTCTCGCTCTCAATCGACACGGAGTGCACTTCATAGATCTGATCACGCACGTAAGTGTATATAGTCTTCTATAGTTTCTATCTTCTCACGGCATCGTTTCTCCCTGCGTGTAATTTAAATTGGTCTCGCGGTCTTTCTTCTCTAGGAGACACTGTACCATTACCCCTACTCCGAGGTGATCTCCACGAGGAAGGTCAAGTCCGAGGAGGGCACGCTCTACCTCGACATGAAGTGCGGCAATCTGATGCAGCAGCGTATCACCAGGCTGCAGACGGAGCAGGCCCACGAGATCTCCCGTCTCATCAGGCAGTACATCACCATGGAGCAGAGGACGTCCAACGCTCAAGGTGGAGCCGGCATCGGGCTCGGCATGAGATAAGCTTCCTCTCGTAAAAACCTCGATGACCGTTCCTCCTCCGCGACATCCGATATCCGATCCGGATTAGTCAATCTACAGGGCGGTAACCAGGTTTCAAGCCCTCGATTAACGTACCGTAACGTGCACGAGGCCGCGAGCCTCGTAAGTAGCCCAATATAAATCGCGGCATTGTTCTTAATGGCCTGCGTAAGATACCGACCTTCAGGTTCACGCTACATCGGATACCAAGTGGGATAAGCTCGCTCCAGCGTACCGGCCCGCGTCCTGACGGACGACGGCGCGGCTAATCCGTCATCAGGGATATTCGTAGGACTCGCTGGAAGGAAGGATTGTGAAGAAAAAAAAGACAACGAATGCTCAAGTATCTAAATTGTCCATACCGGATATACGACTTGAAACGATGGACTTGTATAGCATTTATTTATACATTCGTTAAGGAGTTCATAAAAGAAAGCAAGGAATAAACGCGAAAATAGAAGTTGCATCCATCCATGGCGGTGTAATATTAACGCTAATATTAACACACGTCCCTGATGAGTGTTGAACAGGTGACTAACCATTCAGCGATTATATATGTTATATCATCAGATTATTAATTAATACTTGTACGTATATGCATATAGGAGTACGAGATGTGAACGAAGATATTAACTTTATATTGAAATTTTTACGTGTAAAAAAAAAAACGATGTGTGTTATTCCTTCCCGACCTTTATCTCGCGATCCTGACTATCGCACAGATCTGCAAAATAAAATTTCCTTTTAAAAAGTAGTGGATGTATGAAACTAATAAAAATCAATGAAAAACTTTTATTAAAAGTTTCAAAAACATTGCAGTCCTGTGATATAGTTCTCCTAATTTATTTATTATAACTATTTAAATATAAATGCGTTGTGGCATCTGGCGCGTGTGTCTGGTAATTAAGTACAACATATTAAGTCCAAAATTTGCTGCTTCATCGTCGTAAAATTTAAGTTCGAATCGAATCAAATGGGTCTCGTGTTTTAATTATGTACATAGAGAAAACTGAATAGAGAAGAATTTCTATTCATTTTAATTTGAATAGAACACTGGTTTTTTTTTTCGAGAATGTAAATGCTGTTGGACTTAACGACTTTTGTCTCACGATTGTTACATCTAGAGATGTAAATAGAAAAAAAACCAAATTGTTTTTTTTTCCATAAAATACGTTTTTAAGAAAAAAAGTACAAGTCTCGTTTTTTCTCAAAAATTTTTTTTTTCAGCTATCTATTTAATATCTATATTTTGCTTAATACAAGTTAATTTTTCAACACAAGTTAATCATTAAAAATGATTTTTTATTTTATAGATAGTAGATTTAAATTATCATCATTTTAACCTTTATGCAGAACGAGAAAGTCAGTATATTGATTCTGAAACATATTTTGAAGCAAGGACTTCAATGAATAATTATAATAAATTCTGCTTAAGGAAAAGCTGTTTAAAAAAAGAATTAAAAAGATTCTTCTTTTGTAAAATGTAGATCACATTAAAATTAATTATATAATTACTATTTACAATTAATTAGTGCTATCGGAATTAGAAAAAAAAAACAAATTTGTATTTTTTTCAATAAAATAAAACACGTTTTTTTTCTAATGTTTTTTTTCTATTAGAAAAAAAAAACGTTTTTTTTTACATCTCTAGTTACATCTCTACCATATACAAATATAAAATTCGAAGAGTATATATAATATCGACGGTTATTATATCTTGCTTTAATCCTTTCATGGCTAAAATTGTGTGTGTGAAAATATTTAAACAAATTCACAAATTACAGAGATAGCGGAATATAGATATATGGTATTCACAAGATTAGTGGAGAGAAAATATTTGAGAGAAGTTTTAATTAATTATTAATTTTACTAATAAGAGAAAAAAATATAACTAACGTTTCTTACTGAACAAAATTGGCCAATAACTTTGTAATTATAGAGAACGGACCCCGAGAGTGTGCCCGCGTGTGCATGAAAGGGTTAAATTCTAGAGTGTTCCGGGCTAGGTTTCGGTGTGCTCGACTTAACGTCCTGTGGCCAGTTACTTGCAGTGTGCCGCACGAATCCCGGATCGGTCGGCGAGTACGGCGTCCTCGCGGTTTGCGTGCCAGTGGACTTTAACACGCCGAAATACTCCTCCAGCATCTCAATGTCGTCCTTGGATCTTCTGGACCGATAGTCCTTCGGCGGAGGTGGCACGTTGAAGGACACGTCGCGATGATGACCCCTCAGGATCCCGGGTGGGCCGCCGCGCATTCTGACGGGCACGTTGTCGTACTGGCTGTTGTCCGAATATCTGCCCGCCGTTTCAAACAGAATTATATTTAAGAGCCGGCACACTCCCCGTGCGTCACGCATCTTGAATCACGAACGACGGAAACGAGGAAGCGAGCGATTCTGACGACTCACGTCCGCGCTGGTGACTCCTCCACTTTCGACGTATCTCAGACTCTGAGTAAGACAATTCTGAGGTTTCCAGTACCTAACTAATTTCGTGGATATTGGAGAGGTAGAACGAGAAGCATGAGACACGCGATAATTATCTCACAAAATTTATACGAGTTTTTATTTGTAGCATGAGTGAAGTTAATTTCTGAAGCCTGTTCTTAATGCCTGTTTCTATACCAATGTAGAATATACTTTAATCTTGATTTAACTTACTTTTTATGTTTTTCCAGTTTTAAGAATTAAAAAAAATAACGGGTAAATTAAATCAAAATTAAAGTTAATCTGCATTAATAGAAATGGATATAAATCTTTCACGTCGATCAATGGAGATCTCTTGAGATAAAAATAGAAGAAAATTCAGACATTTTGGAATCAATTTCTCATTTTAAAAATTGGAAATTTATAGCCTTGAAATATGTTGTTTTTTTAATGTCTGTTTCTATACCAATATAGAATATACTTTAATCTTGATTTAATTTACTTTTTATCTTTTTCCAGTTTTAAGAATTAAAAAAAAAACCGGGTAAATTAAATCAAAATTAAAGTTAATCTGCATTAATAGAAATGAATATAAATCTTTCACGTCGATCAATGGAGATCTCTTGAGATAAAAATAGAAAAAAATTCAAACATTTTGGAATCAATTTCTCATTTCAAAAATTGGAAATTTATAGCCTTAAAATATGTTGTTTTTTTTTTTAGTAATGTAAAATCTTTCTACGAGCGACAAGAATCGTTTGCATGCGTTTCGTGGTCATCGTGATCCAAGATGACTGACGCAAACATTGCCGACGCTTAAATGAAATTTCCGAACCGAGGACGCGGTGGGGGACTCCGGAGACGCAAGAAATCACCTGTTGTAGTTGTCGAGTGTCTCCTCGACGTCTCGCTCGACTTTCATGATCTTCACGCTCGGATTGACGATCCTCGCGAAGACCGGGTCGCCCTTTTCGTACTCCATCGGGAACCGCGGCGTGTCGAGCTCGTCGACCGGCCGCTGATAGATGTCCCGGCTCTTGTACATTATCCTGGACTCGTCGATCCTGCGATCGGGATCGTGCACGATCGCGCGCGGCACCTCGACGTCTCGATACCGCTGCGAGTCACGTAGTGCTCGGCCATTCTCGAAATTTTCCCGCTCCTGATCGCCGCGATACTCGCGATCGTCCCGGGTGTCCTGCGGACGTGTCTTGGACGATTCCAGCGTGGGATCGATGCGACGATCGTCCGCCTTCTGAAAAGCATCGTTCACGCGACCGTTCTCGTCGTCCTCGGGAGGGATTTTGACGATGACTGGTTTGGGCTTCTTTGCGTCCTCGGCGGTCACCACCGGCGTCACCTGGCGCTTCGCTATTTTAAAACATACCATTTTTTTAAATAATTTAATTGAAAAATCTTATTTACGAGTATAAAGAAAGTATGCATAAATGAAAAAGTTATAATAAAGATTAATAAGCCGCAATAATCGTATTGGAATATCTTCTACGAACGGAGCGTTAAAATTTTATTTAATATTTAATATCTTTTTTATTCATAGGGTGGTCCATTTATTTAAAAAAATATAAATATCTCGAAAAATGTAGAAGATACGAAAAATTGTTTCAGACAAAAGTTATACGGTCTGAACAAATATAGATTAATTTTCGAAAAAAAAAATTAATTTTTCATAAAGTCATATGTTTTTGACTTTATGACTTTTTGACTTTATGAAAATCATTGTTTTTTTTTTAAATATAATTCTATAATTTTTTTACATAATGTGATTTCTCTAATTATTCTGCATATGAAAATATTAAGATAAAGTTATCGAAAAATCAATATTTTATAAGAGATTTTATACTTTATCATGTCATAAAGTATAATAAGTTCGACATAAAGTATGAAATATCTCGTAAATTATTGATTTCTTGGTAGTTGCACCTTAATACTTTTATGCACAGAATAATGAGATAAATCAATTGATGTAAAGAAAACTCAGTTGCTTTAAAAAAAATGCAATTTGTAATATGCAACTGTATATTTATTTTAAAAAACAATTATGTGTTTTCTTTATCAATCAATCGATTTATCTCATTATTATATGCATAAAAAGCACAATTATCAAGAAATGTATGATTATGTCAAAATATGGCATGATAAAATATATAAAATATCTCGGTAAGTATGATTTAAAAAGATAGATTTTTCGATAACTTTACTTTAATACTTTTATATGCAGAATAATTAAAGAAATCATATTATGTAAAAAAATTATACAATTCCGTGTAATTTCATTTAAAAAAAGCAATGATCTTCATGACTTTGAAAAATTGATTTCTCTCGAAAATTAATTTTATCAATATTTTCCGCTTCAAAGTATAACTTTTTGTCTAAAATTTTCTAAACAATGTGACTTATATTTTTCGAAATTTATATTTTTTATTATAAATGAATCACACTACTTATTATACATGCATATATAGCCTTGATTATAAGTATAAAGCATCCCTATAAATTGACGCAAACGTTCTACATCTAACGAAAAATAAATTAAAAAAGTTTTATTGAAAAATATTTTTATTCAATTTTTATATTTTAGTCCTCCTTTTTTATATTGCCTTTGATTTTTTTATCATCTTTTTAAGAAAATGCAATAAATTGAGAGTGCTTTATAGCCAAGACTGTATATACACAGAAAAAAATTAGTCTTAAATCAAGAATATTTTCATATATAAGCAAGAATATTATAATCTTAGATTTTTAGTTTTGAATTAAATGTGAGTAATATTTACATCAATACAAATTCAATCCAATAAAAACTATAAATCTTCTAAGAAGATTATAATATTCTTGCTTCTATACGGGAATTATTTTGATTTAAGATTAATTTTATAAAATTTACAAAATTTTATAACAAAATTACAAAATTACTAATTTTTCTATAAAATTTAATATACATATAGTATTTCATTAATAATCGTACCCAAATCTTTCTCGAGGATTCGTGCTTGGTCCTGCTTGTCCTTTTTCCGGGGCGGGCTCATCAGCAGGTCCCCGATGAACACCAACGCCGTGAGCAGGCACAGCGCTCCCAGAACCGCGGCATTGTCAACCAGATCCTCGGGGACGCTGTCGATGGAGGCTAGCGACAGGGCGCCGACTATCCCAAAGAGGATCACGCCCAGTCCGAGCAGGAAAAATTCCTGAGATCCAATCGGGCTTGTTAAATCGCGGTTACACCTGCGTGATCTTATAACGCCGATGCGATCTATTTACGCCTGACGCGGCCGCATTGATTATGCATGAAAACTTATTACCCAACGACCTTGCTTGCAACGGTAAGGAGAGAAAAAACCAGGGCAAGAAGAAAACACATAAATCGTTGCGAGTTGCGTATCACTGCGCTCAGGGCTATTCGGAACGCGCGAGGGATCGAACGTCGCGTGCCAACGGTTTTTCGATAGGATGTATATTTATTGAAAGACGGCAAAAAAGAAAGAAAACACAGGAAATCTACGCACTATGCAATCCGCTCAAGATCGGCCGGTCCCAGCCTCAAGTCATGAGTCATTAAATGAGTTACGTTACGTGTCGCGACTTGACCAAGGCTGATGGCGATTACGTGCACGATGGCGTGCGCGGGGGGGCGAATCCCGCTCTCGCGTTATAGAATATTTTTATCCTTGGCCCCCTCAATGGCACCTTCGCGTTCGCGCTGCTGATTTTCTCACGCCACCGTCGCGGCTGACGCGCCGCGATTTACGCGATGTTGTGTATTTTCACTTGCCCCAACCAACCTCGGAATAAATTAAGAGCGCCTGGGAAGGATCTCGATGCGGCGTCAAAACGAGCCCCGCTCCCGCCATCCCGCGTTAAATACGTCACTCCTCCGCGCCGCACGTGGAAATTTTGCCGAGAAAACATAAACTATAAAGTTATGTTATATCCTTTCGCGGTGAAACGTTTTTTGCTCCCGCTGACAAGATGATGACTCCGCACAACTTGTAGTATATGTGTATTATTACCGGTAGTGGAAGAAACGAAATAAATCTTATCTTATTACGTAAATATCTTCAGCTTCGCCTATTTTTAACGAAATCTAAGCTAAACGCGTATGTACAAATGTGTAAATGCTTGTCTCCAGGAGAGACAACTCACGTCAACTTTTTTTTTTTTTTTTAGACGAAGACGGAGATATGGTGAGTCACCCCATCTATCAATTCAAACAAACAACTTTATATAAAAAAAAAAAATAGATTTCCGCTTTTTTTAAAATATATGCCACGATTTCTTTTTTCTTTATAAAAGACACACTCCTAATCTCACCGCATAATCAAGAGGTCGTTTTAGTTCCGTTCACGGCGTTACGAAACGCAACTATACGACGCATACCGCGCCGCATGAGAAAAAGGAAAGAGAGGAAAGAAAAAAAAAAGGAAAGCAATTACCGTCTTTCGGCCGTGGAGTTCCCCGGTAGCCGCGGCGATCAAGAGACCCGTCGTCACGATGATGTATCCGCCGCAGGTCGCCGTTGCTAGGGCAGCGCCTGAAAATACACGGAAATCGGGTAAATGAGTGTGTGCCTCTCGCGATCCGCGGCTGCACGCGAGACAGCGCTCCGTGGATCCGGGTATTTGAATCACGCGGAGTTGGAGATACCTACCTATGCTGCCCCACGTCACATTATTCAGCAGCGACCACTCCCTGCTGCGATTCCTCAGGTAGTGGAACACCCTTCGGCTCTCATCGTCCGTCACTCTAAGCGCCACGACGCAGGCGACGCACAGGAGCTGCAATCCGCGATACACTTTGCTAATTTTCGCTAATCTTAATATAATCTTCCGCAGGTGATGTCAGAGAATTGGCGTGGTCGAGGGTTTCGAATCGATATATCGTTTCGATCAAATTTATTTATTTAATGTTTAAGAAGGGCTGCAATTCTCGTCGCGGCTTCCGTAATCTTATAATTCCGCAGATGGTGTCGGAGAATTATGTAGCTGACTTTACGTAGTGGGGGCTTCGATGAAATACAGTTTCAATGAAATATTTACTAATAAAGTAAATGAGCTAATATAAATATATGAAAATATATCTCAGATTCACGCTAGTCACATTGCCTTTTCATAGAAAAATTTAATACTAAAGTAGTGATGATTAATTACTTTAAGTAATAAAAGCAGACACTGAAACCAAAACAATCTTTCTAATACTCAAAATAAATAGTATTTAATTGAATTTCTGTAAGGGTTAAGCATGCACCAGATTGTGCGTGATTCATGGTGTTTTGTGCTCTTCCATTTCGTAAAAAAAAAGAAACCATTCCAAATGACGAATTGGCACGAATTATCGAATGCGAAATTCAATGAATATATGTATGATGTAATTTGTATGTACTTCCAAATTTCATATACAAATAGCAAATTGTGAATTTCAAACTGTCTCGGATCACGAATTGCGCGTAGTTTGACGCGTTTTATTATTGTTACGAATCGTTACACAAACTGATTGTTTTAGCATAATTGTTGCTATTATATGTGTACACAAATGTTGATATTTTAGATTTATGTAATTTTAGACTTAACTTTTTTTCTAGAAGCAACATTAAAAATAAATAGAGAATTAAATGAGTTAATTTTTTATTCAGAAGGCTCTACAAAAAACTCGAAATCTGAACGCATCTGAAATTCCATTGATTTTAAACCTTGCCGCTAAATTAAAATCTATAGCGCCATAAGTATAAAATACCCTCACAAATTGACATAACTTTCCTATATCTATCCATATCTGACGAAAAATAAGTTAAAAAATAATTTTATTACAAAATAATATTTTTGTTTATAGCAACTATAATATTTCGTTCCTCCATTGGCCTTTTCCAAGAAAATGCAATAAAATCGAGGATGCTTTATAGTTATGATCAAGATCGTAAAAATATTAAACGCGTGAATCACGAAATTAATAGGCGCGTTTCGCGGTAAAGGCAAATTAAAGATGTATTTACGTACCACTTCGATTATTCTGATAAACACCTTGCGGTTCCACATGATGCGATCACTGAAGACGCGCTACCAGGCGAACGACTAAAGGCACGGGGAACAAGCGGCCGTTTGCGAAAGTGTCGTCTCTTTTCGGCGAAGCATTACGTGATTTCTCAGGCTATTAACAAACCGTTCTCATTTTCCTTTGAAACGCCACTAGTCGCGTTTAACAATTAGTTTCTGTCGAGAGGATACGTCACTGACTGTCAAGGGAAAAATTTAGTCATATCCTGGATCGCAACACAGGATATAAGCTTTTCTTAGCGTTTCTTGTGATAAATTCTTTACAGAAATTTAATACTGGAAAGTAGCGATTAATTATTTATTTTAAGAGGATCGAATAACTTTTAATACTCAAAATAAATAATTTTTAGTATTGAGTAGAATTTTTGTAACTTGTAAGTAAACTACTCGTAAAGTAACGTAAATCAATTTAAAGATTTTACCACAAGAAAATTTACGATATATATATAAGTTTTTTACGCAAAAGAAAGTTTATTAAATCACTTCTTCGTGTATTAGATAAGTTATTTTTAGTTACAAATATAAATTTTTAAGAAAAAACAATTTGCACAAGGAAGTAAATTGACTTTTTAAATAAAATGTGAAATATGAAAATTGCTTTACTGAAAAATTAATTTTCTTGACTCCGCAGATTAACGAGCATTGCACTTTGAAAAATATAAACGCGCGTTTTTTTCACATTTCCGAGATCAATAACCGTCAAATGTTAAACAGTATTATTATTATTTTTTAGTTTGTTAGTTCACGTCGCTTCGAACGTTCTACGCGACTATCGCTAAACGCGTTCCAGTCGACCGTTCGATAATGGAAACCAGTATGTATTAATTATTATCACCTGCAACAGTCGCGGCGTGACACGGAAAAGCGAGGGTTCGCGTCGCGACGCGCTCGAGCGACGACTGAGAAGATATGCGGCGAAGGCGCAGCCGGGCCCAGGTTGGCGGCACCGTATGTCATGACTGTCATGTAATAAGGACTGTGTCTGCATGCGAACGGCACAGGTAACAATGCTATTATCACACGGTGCAATGGCGCAGGACGATGCGAGCCTCGCGGATATATGTGTCACGGAGAAGGCACCTCTCCGTCGCGCGTCTTAGAAGGCACCTTGAACCCGTTCGCAACACGCTAAATCTCTCGTTTACTGTGTCTTCAACGCTTCTCGACACTTTACACCTCGCGAGAAAAGACGTGGCGATGACTCTCGACGGTTTCCGTGGAAAAAAGTGAGCAGCGCACACGCGCGTTTGAATCTCGTAGAAATTTTATTTGTATATACAGGGTGTCCCCGGATAAGTGGCCACCCCCTTTTATCTTGTAAATATAAATTTAATATCAAATTAAACGGCTCTGACTAAACTTTATTATAAGCACAGTGATCACTTAAAAATATTATCTATGTTAGAGAACAGAGAGACATGCATAATTTTTGCACGGTAAAGTGACAATTTTAATATAATAAAAGCGTTTTTTTTAACGAATACAACGATGTATGATATAATGACATTATCTTACGAATTATACAAATTATTTTGATTTAAAGTTTTGCTGGCGACTGTTACCTTTTCAGTTTCGGCCCTAATATATATTATATTAAAATTGTCATTTTACTGTGCAAAAATTATGCATTTCTCTCCGTTCTCTAACATAGATAATATTTTTAAGCGATCACTGTGCTTACAATAAAGTTTAGTTAGAGCTGTTTAATTTGATATTAGATTTATTAGGTCTATCTTTGTTAGTTTACGAGATAAAAGAGGGTGGCCACTTATCCGGGGACACCCTGTATGTATCCTAGTACATACAAGAAAAGAAATAATTTCGGAATAGATGCATAAATGAATTAAAATACAGTATCCTTCATAGTAAAGAGTTTATGTACTACAATTTTTCTGAATTATAAAGAAATAAGTGATAAAACATAATAAATATTAAATTATGATAGACGTACAAAACTTACGTAAAAAAATAGAATAAAATTTATAAAATGAATATATGAAATAAATATGGAACACATAACTTTGATATATAAAATATATGTATAAAGAAATATGAATTGAAATATATTCGAATAGAAAAATTATACAGAATGTAAACTTAAAATACTGTCCACTAATTACATAACAGAATGTAAACTTAAAATACTGTCCACTAATTACATAACGTTATTCCTTGTAAAAAAAACTGAATCGAAAAATTTTGAACCACTTTTTTCTACAGTGATAAATAAAGCAATCACTATTGCAGTAATTATTGCTTCATTTAAGTATTGTAGACAAAAATATAGTTCTTAAATAGCACTCACTATAAATTACATAGCGCTATTCTTTATAAAAGATGAGTCGAAAATCCTGAATCATTTTTCTCTAGAATGCCAATGAAGCAATAATTATTGCAATAGTGATTGCTTTATTGAGCATATAGAAAAAAATTGTTCAAGACATTTCGACTCAATTATTTTTACAAGAAATAATGCTATATAATTAGTGGGCGGTGTTACGCTCTGTGTATAATTATATTACGTACGTACATATAAAAAAAATCACCAGGTTATTAATTATTTCCAGTTCGTAAAGACTTGAGATATTTCGGCCTTCAATATTTTGTTAGTATAATTTCTTCAATCTTCCTTTATTAGTGATTTATTTATAATTGAATTACGTTAGCTGATCGCAGCATATATGTATATACATGTACATATGTATTATCTTCGAATAAAAAAAATTATACTTTTTGTATGCATAACCTTCGGGAGTCATAAATTATACAGGGTGATCCATTTTAATCGATCACCTTAAATATCTCTTGAACAGTGCATTTTAGGGAAAAATATTTCAGACCAAAGTTTTGGGAACCCCTCCCCCCATTTTTCATTACATATTCTTGTAGCACACCTCGAGGGCTTTCCAAAACACATAGATAAAATATTTTGTGATTAAATAAATCTTGAGTTATGAAGCTTGAAAGTTGCAGTACCATCGGCATTAGCATTATCCAAGGTGTCTAAACACTGGCTAAAACTTTTTGAATGTTATTCAGGATCATGATCTAGACAATACATGTCGAGATCAAGGCCATAAAGTTATTAAAATAAAAGTTATTGCTTTTATTATCATTTTTGAAAATTATATTTATTTTTTGAAAAAAAGAAAAACAATTTCCAATGGTCATGACCCTCATATGTTTTATTAATGTCATGATTCTGAACAACATGCAAAAAGCTAGTGTTCGGATACCTTGGAATGCCTTTGGATGATGGTAATGTCGACGGTACTCCAACTTTCAAGCTTCATAACTCAAGATTTATTTCATAAAAAAAATATTTTATCTATGTGTTTTGAAAAGCTCTCGAGGTGTGCTACAAGAATATGCAATGAAAAATTGGGGATTCCATTAAAAAAATTCAAAGTGACCTTGCGCTGACCTTGACGACGCCACTCAGGGTCAAACCAATGTTATCATCTTGTGTCTCCCTCGAAGTCCCAAAACTTTTGTCTGAAACATTTTTCTCTAAAATGCACTGTTCAAGAGATATTTGAGGTGATCGATTAAAATGGGACACCCTGTATAACGAGTTACCTGAACTTCCAGTATCGCGGAAACCAGCTTCCGCACGGATCTGTTTTGAAAAGCGTACGGATTGCGTCATCCGTAACTATGCAAGCGCGCGTCGCTGCTACGCATCAGGTTCGCAGGGCTGCGTTCGGGAATTCACGGTATATCATGCTATCCTTGTTATTCGCCAAATGTTAAACAAGGATAAAAGATGCCTGATGTACCTAAACGGTTTCCGAACGCAGGTCAGCTCTCACAGGCGCGTGGCGCGCACACAGCAATATCGATCGTTTGATTGGATGATCGCGCGGTGTACGTACGTGTGACAGTGGTATGTGGAGACAGATCCGTCCGAATCCCGCCGACGGCGTGGCGCCGACACAGCGACGCATAATAAAAGAAAGTCAAACACCGATGGTTGTCTCTCATTCCACAATCCACTCGGCGGCCGGCCGGCACGGGACACGAGAAGAAAGAAAAACCCGATCGCGGAGAAAGAAAGATAGAGAGAGAGAGAGAGCAAAGGTCTTCGATCCCTTCCACGCTAAATCCCTTCCGTCTGCCAATAGTGCCAATCCTGCGATACATATACGAACACACACGAATTAACTTTGTTTGCCTAATGTCTATGCGCGGCGACGCATTTCGGAACGTTTTCTACGCTTCTTCTCAATCTTCTCGCCGGCCAGGACGGTTCGTGAAAATCCGATCGCACCACACGGGGCGATCAGTCTCTCGGGGGACGGGTGTCGCGGCAGTGAATCGAGCCACGATTATACGTGATACGTATTACGCAGTGTGATCCGCCGAATTCCGCCAATATCGTATTCTCGCCCGAGCGTTCGGGATCGTTCTTAATCAGCTAATATCGAATTATTCGATCGGGATCGTGTGCAGCAAGATGGAGAGCAACAAGTCGAAGGAAGGTCGCAAAGGGAGTAATCGCAGGAGAGGCGGCAGGAAAGAGGAGAAGCGCGAGCTTCGGAGGTCAAAGAGCTCGAAGAGCGAGGAGAATGCCTCGTCCTGGACGTTTTCATCCGTCGCCGAGAGTAACGTGGATATCATGGAACTAGAGACGTCCTTGGACATGGAAAATTTTGACGATCATGGTAAGCCGAAGATGCTCTGCTCTT